TCTTCCTGGGGATGTGTGCCGCCTTATTGAACACTGGCATGCAGGCATTGTCTATCACTTTGAGCGTGAGAAATGCCAAGCGCAAATTAACTGTGGCAGGGGCATACGACAGGGATGCAAGATTGCTCCCAGGGTTTGGTCCTTATTTACCATCCTTGTAATGCATGAGATAGGACTCGAGTGGTGTCAGCAGCATAGCAACTGGTTCGCGGATGATGCCCTCTTCCAGGCAATAAAGCGATCTCCAAGGCTCTCTGGGTCCTACAGAAGCTGGGTATGAGCATTGCCGCCTCCAAGAGTGCTGTGCTGCTCCACCTTGGAGGCACCATGGCCAAGAAAGTGAAGGCAAAGATCGTACAGGTGCACAATCAGAAGCAACAAGTGCTCTTTCAGCACGAAGCACACCAATGGAGGCTTCCGGTTGTTGCTCAACATGATTACTTAGGAGCCACTCTTAGCTATGCTCGAATGGAGGACCTAACTGCAACCAGACGGATCAAAGCTGCACAGGCCTCCTTCGACAGGCTAAAGCCAGTGCTCACTCAAAAGGCCCTTGCTCTGAGAACTCGACTGCGCATTTGGCAGGCCTGCGTTACCTCCAGCTTGCTGTACGCCTTACCGCAGGTGGGCCTTACTCCAGGATCAGCGCAGCGTGTAGCCGTTTCCTTCTTCAGACAGCTGAGACACATCACCAGCAAACCCGTGCACCTCACAGGCATCAGCAATCAGCAGCTATGCGAGCAACATGATCTCAAGGATCCAATCGATTGCCTGCTTCGCAGTGCTCAGAAGCAACAGGAAAAAACGGTGCGCCTCCGCACTGTCTTAGATGCTAAGGATGCAAGACTTGCCGCAGATATCTTGGCATGTGAGGCTAGGATTCTTGTTCAGGTACAGACCATAGCCGGTGATCGGCAGGCGGGACATGTCACACATGCTGCTAGCACCATTCAGTGCCCTGAATGCGATCACGTGGCGGGCAGCAAAACGGCGCTCACCAAGCACCGCAATAAAGTTCACCAAGCAGGACTCAAAGCTTCATCATACCTTGACTGGAAAGAGGTGGACAGATTCACGCATGGAGCCAAAGGTCTTCCCACGTGTAGATGGTGCGGCAAGGACTTCAGCTCATGGCAACAGCTATACAAAGGCACATCTTTGATCAGGTCTGCCAAAGTAGCGAACATGTGGAAGACACAGCGCAGGTAGTGCCTACCTCTCCCTTGGATGCTTCTCCCACAAGGTGCCCTCCTCTTTGCCACAACAGCTGTATGACTGGTCATCAGCAGGATGACCGCGCGGAGCCTATCAATGATCAGCCCAGCACCTGTCACTCCTCTCAGCAGACGGACCAGGATTCCGTGCCCTTTGCTTCAGGTGCTGCTCCTGTGCATCACACAGGAATGGCAGGCAGCTCCAAAACACAGATGGATCCTCAGCCCGTTCATCGTGATAATGACATCATGCCGACAATTAAAGCACACCCTCCGCTTGAGGTCCTCCAGCAGCACCCCAGGGTACAGGCTGAGCTCAGTAGTCACTGCTGCCTGTGTCGACAATGGACACCGCAGAGAGGCGGTACCAAAATCCATCTACATGCCAAGGAGTGGCAGAAGGCCGGCACCGCGGCGGAACATGTGTGTCTCTCATTTGCACATCATGTCACTAGTCGTGAGGAGTGCCCTTTTTGTTTGGCCCCCAAGTTTGCTGATCGCCGCGCCGCCCGTGCGCATGCTCAAAACTGCCAGGTCCTCTTTCAGCTCGTTTTCCTCAGAGAGCTCGGAGCTCAACCGGCGCCGCCCTCTCACTCGCAGCAGCACAACATTACACTGAAAAATGGCAGCCAGTTGTCCATTGCTATTGCCATACCGTCTCTGCAACAGCCCACTGATGCAGAAAGTGGTTTCCTGTTGAAACACTGCTGCATTTGTGCTCAGACACAGCCCAATCTTCGGTCACTGAAGACGCATCTGCACAAGGCTCACCCTGAAGCATGGGCTGATACCACTTCCCTTAGTCGTAAATGTAGGGCCCTACTCACCACCGCGGATAAAACCTGCCCCTACTGCCTTAAAACCTCGCGTATCGCCAAAGATCACGCGCCCTTCTGCCCTGTCATCTTTCAGTTCTGTCTTCTTCAACACCTGAAAGCTGAGTCTAGGCAGCATACAGCCCGGGAGGATCATGGAACAGGTGCTCGGCCCATTGTTCCCGGCCTTGAGCGAAGTTCTGTCAGACGGCGGCTTCGAGGTAAACAATCCCAACAAGCGGTACAGGCAGGACCCAGATCAGGTGCCCCAATCCAAGGGAAGGCAAGGGGGCAAAGGCAAGGGCAAGAACAAGGGCAAGGGCTCGCGACAACTGGACTACAGCTGGGGAGGATACCAGGACACAAGGTATCGCTCATCGGGAAGCTTCGATGTGGAGGCGGCTGTGTATGCCCTGGCCAAGCTTTGTCTCAGGCAGGAGACGGAGCTGAGCGAGATCAGACAAGAGAAGTGCTTTCTTCTTCATGTCAGTGCAGCGCCCCATGGGATCCTCAAGCCGCTCATTCAGGCCTCCATGAAGTGGAACGAACTCCGAGACCAGTTGAAGGTGGAATGCAGCTTGAAGACGGAGCTTTTCCGATTGATGCTCAAGGAGACAGCAGCTCGAATGGAAAAATTCGAACACAGTCAGGAAAGCCAGCGGGCAGCAGAGAAGGTCAACTGGATCAGCGGCATGCCTCTGCTCTGGTTGTATCAGAAGTGGGATCCGGAGCAGCAGCAGCTCGTCTTGGACCAGAGTCGATCGGGAATGCCGCATCAGGAAGTCAAGGACATGCTGGAGAACTTGAGTGCCGCGCTCAAGGAAGACCCAGACTCGATCAATCAGTTCGCAGCCAAGAGAAGATTGACACCGGCCATGACAGGGGCATCGGTGCCATTCCGGGTATCCATTGGTCTACGCGGCCCTCAATGCCAGATCCTGCACGAGGCCTTCATCAAGCTGTCCGGTCTGGCTGTGCTGAACCTGATTGGGGCCAACATGCACAAGGAGAGGCAGCGGCATGGCAGGGAGGCGGACGAGGTACGCAACCTGACTTGGCGCTCCGGTGCAGGCTCCTCAATCCGCATGGTACGAATGCCTGCTATGTCAATTCTGCGTTTCTGCTGATGATGCATGCCTCGCTTCAGGTGGGCATGCCTCCGGAGCTGCTGGGCACTCTTGGGACTAGTGTTCGAGACCTGGCCAACACAACTCAGCCTACTTTGCTTCGTGCTCTACCTCGCATCCAGGCGATCATGCGTCTTTGGAATGACCCAAATAGGCAGCATGATGTTGCTGAGTTCCTCTCACATCTCATCACGCAATGTCGAATGCCCTTCGGTCTTGAATGTTGGCAGGTGCGTGCTATCAGGGGGCTGGAGCTTTGCATATTGGATGAAGGCTCACTCTGCACACCCATCCCCTTGCCCACTCCGGCCCCTCCCAACAATGGCCAAGCGCTCACCTTTCAGGATTGTGCTGCTCGGTTCTTTCAAGAAGCGGAGCATCCAGATCAGATGTGTGCACTTGCCTCGATTGCACTCCTTGTGTGCTTCCAGCTGAGACGGTATGAGCTCGATGCTGATACTGGCATAGCGCACAAATGCACCACTCCAGTGGACTTCTCACAGTCTACGCTTCAGGTCCCTGTCTGGAGCGGGGTGGACACAGTGCAGACTCGGTACGTGCCCTATCGCATCAAAGCCATTGCCTTTCATGAAGGTGTGACGCCGACGGCGGGGCATTACCGCACATGCCTGCTGCATCAGGGGCAGTTCTTTGTCACTGATGATGGGGCTGTGGCAAGACGTGCGGACTCCCAGATGCTTGAAAGGGTGCAATCCAACTCTTATCTCTTCGTGTGCACCCGGTGCATTGATGGCTAGGTGGGGCTGAGGTGTTACCTCGCCTGCGTGTGAGGTCGAGTCTAGATGAGGTTTATCCTCTCCTGATGTGACCGGGGCGGTTTTCTTTTTCACTCCTTGTTAACCTGTAGCCATGTTGTCGGGTTGAGGGCTCTCCTCCCTGATACATGTTGCGTCGGGTTGAGGGCTCTCCTCCCTGACAAAGGTCTCTCTGAGTAGATGCCTGTGCATCCTCTCAGTTGCCATGACTTTTGGGGATAGTCATGTAGTTGGTGCAGCAGAAGCCTGCTTGGCAGTGCGCTGCGGGGCCTATGGCCGACGCTAGGCGTTCAGCAGTTTCACTGCTCGACACGCCGCGTGACGGAAACAACAACGAGAAAAAGTTTCAGAGAACTGATAATTTTTCAAGATGTTGTTTTAGTGCTTGCCTTTTTCTCCGCTGAACATTCCGGAACACGATTTCTTTTCATGCATGTGAACGATAACATGACATGATGGCTTTAACTGAAGACTTGCTCCGCTGCAGCAAGACCTCTCGACGGGCAGGAAGCCCGGGCTGGGAAACAGTAGATTTTATTTTGAAACGGGGCGGGCTAGGTGCTCGTGCCTCGGAGTGAGAATGCAGAGAGGTCGTTTGAGCCGTTTGCTCTTATTTGCCTGTGTGTGCGCCCTGTGACAGTATGGCTTAGCTGCAGTATATCGAGATTCTGGGCGTGCACCTGAGAGCGAGAAAGCTGTGAATTCAGGTCATCTTCGCCTGGTCAGGCCGATAACTTAGGCTTGACTTCGGAGAGCACACAGTCGCTGCGAGCCGAGATCGCAGCAAGCTTGGCTGGACATGAAAAACATTGTGATTGCACTGAGCAGACGTTGGCAGGATTCAGGACCTGTGCATGACCCTTATTTCGCTAGTTGGTTGCTTGACTATTTGGCTCAGGAGACATGCCTCGCCTCAGTCAGGACAGGAGGTGCAGTGACATAGGCTGCGCCCTTGCCCGGGCGTGGCCCGGGGGCTGTGGCCCTACATTCATGCTTGACCACTCCACTTGCTTAATTTGAACACAGCTTTCGTCTGCTCGTCAGGTCGTGTTGTACATTGTACAAGCAATGAGGTGGATCGGTTTGCTCAAAAAGAGCATGGTTCAGAAGAGCCAGAGAAAGCTCAGATAGAGCTCCGGAGCGAAGGTGAGAAACACCAAAGTCGCGTGATGAATGTTGAGCTGGGAAGCTTGTTTGGCAGACAGCCTGTTCTACTGAGTGTTTGTTGAGCGTAACTGCTTGATTCGTTTCCTTTTGTGACCTCGAGCCGAGTCACCTTCAGAGCCGACACCCCCCAGGAAGCGAGAGAAGAGGTCGAAAGCCTCGAAGAAGTCCAGAAAGGACAAGAAGAAGGGATCGAGCAAGAAGAAGCATGAGAAACATGCGAAAGCCAAAAAGTCCAAGAAGGACAAAAAGAAGAAAGACAAGAAGTCAGAGGACGAGCCCCTTTGGAAAAAGGAGCCTGAAAAGAGATGGCAAAGCTGGAAGTGGGGAAGCCAGAGTTCCGGCTCAGACTGGAAGAAGAAGTCCGATGATGACGGCTCTTGGAAGGCTGATGACTGGAAGAGCCAGCGAGGATGGAACAGCGGTGGAGGCTGGAAACAGTCCAATTGGAATTGGAAAAGGGGGTACGGAGCTCCGAAAGGACAAACCCCAAAGGTCAAGGCTCGCCCGAGCACCAAAGATGATGATATGGAAGCTGACTGGGACTACTGGTCCATTGCCATCGAAAATTGCAAAAATGATGTGCACAGAGTTGCTAGCCCAGCGGAAGCAAGGGATGCTGGCGCAGCCATCGTGCTGGATGATGCCTACGACAATGATGTGTACGAACGCATCTTGGGGGAGCTGGAAACGGCGCACCAGGATACTGTGCCTGGGTCGTTGCTTAAGAAGTTGAGTGAGGCATTGGTCAAGAGCCAGCGAGCATGGCCTGACATTGAAAACAGCTTCCTCATGGAAGGAGGCGGATGGTCAGCGCTGGTGGTGCCAGTGTTTGATGGGCAGGGACAGACAGGAAAGCCCTTGACCTCTGAGTTCCACAGGGACGTGCCGGAACAGGATGCCTATCCGTACAGCTTCGCTCATGGCACGTCCTTTGGCTCGCTGCCATACATCATGGCGGAAGGAATGATCCGACCTCAGAATTGGTCGGTGCTCCCGTCGCTCGGCTTCTTTGGGATTGCCTGCGTGGGCTGGCTTGAGAACGACAAAGACTCGGAGGTGCTCAAGCAACTATTGAACAACGCTCTTTCCATCGGAAAGGGGCAACAAGATGCACTCGTGTTAGGACAAGTGCGGGCGATTGACAAACACGTCGTACTGAGTGCTGGAGGCGACCAAAGGTTGCAAGTGTCCTCGCGAAAAGCTGGACTCTCCCGAGGAACAGACGCATGGTGTATTCGCACCGATGTTGCCCACATCGCGGGTGTCGCGATCACTTTCCCCTCCTGAGAGGTGCAACTTCACAAGCAAAACTGTGAAGCGTGAACATCTCTTCCTGACAAGAAGCACTGTGTGTGGTGCATAGTTTTGCACAGGTGAGGCCGGAGGGCAGGTTGGGTGTGCCCCCCCTTTGTGCGGGAGTCCATCGCGTTTGCGTGAATGATTTTTGTTGGCTCAGAGTTGAAACGTGGAAGCGGGCCAGGACCTTAAGCTGAAAGCTGATCTTTTGAATCGCTTATGTCAGCGATACCGTGACAGTGGACTGCCAAAACAGCCGTGGGAGTTGCCAGCTGCATTGCCTATTTTTGACACCGTAAAGGCAACTTTTCCTGCAAGATTGACGATTCCCTCGCAGCAATGCTTGAGCATTGTAACTCCGAGTGTGAGCCCGGGATCTTCGAGCTCGTCTGCGCCCAAGAGACAGTTGAGAGCATTGCACGACATGGCACATGCTTGTTTCGACGGTCAGTTGTTGATTGCCCACCACCCGCATGGACCAAGGTGTTTTTTTTTGTTATTTTCGCATGGTATCTGGGAGTATGCATGCACTTGCATTTGAGACTACACGACACACAGCCGTGATCACAGTCCACATGTTATCCCACCTGAGCTTTCTTTTGAAGTGTTGTTCACAGTCACTTAAAGAGTTTTCTGTAGTTTTGGTTGCGGGCATGAGCGGCCGCGACCCCAGTTTTGTGGAAAATGAGCTCTTCATGCGGAGCCAGACACATGCCAAGTCTACGCATCCGCGCCAGCCGTGGGAGCAGCCAGGGCTGTTGTGTGTCTTTAACCCTGTTCAGGCGGCTTTCCCGTCACAACTGAGCGTCCCGTATCAGGGACAGCAGGCCAGATCGACCAGCACAGTGCCGGGTCCTCAGCGACAGGTGCATGACTCTGCAGCTCGGCCTGTCGCGCACTGTCAAGCTTGGACACGGGCCGTCAAAGCCAAGCGGGGCCCAGGCTGAGCTGACAAGCGCAATGAAGCTTTTCATAAGATTTTGTGTCGTTGCTCCATGTTTTTTCGACTTTCTTTGACTTGGCTTCGTTGCTTGAAGATGACGAGAATGAAGGGGACTCCTTGCGTGCAGTCCTTGCACCCAAAGCACCTAGTACCATTGTGAAACACGCTGGCCCCGTGCGTACGTTCTGCGAGTGGCTGGTCAAATCGAACAGTTCCCCGCCGTTTGGGGAAAAGGTGGTCTGGACTTTTGTTCATTGTGTTTTGAAGATGCCCCGGACCGCGGCCTCGACCTTGGACGCCACTTTGCCCCTGGATGGAGCCGAGAAGCAATTCTCAAAGCAACGGCCGCCGCCCCGGCCGCGGTGGTACAGTCGACCGACATCGCAGAGGATGAGGACGAAGCTTTAGCCGTGGTTTCAGATGACTCTGATTCGGATGCGGATGATACGGACATGCCCCTCTACTGGGCTCACCCTACGAGCCAGATTTTGCATAGGACCACCTTCGGTTCTGCTATGTTCTTGTGCGGTCGTGCATTTGGGGACCATTATAGGCGCATCCCCATTGCTAGGGCGCAAACTTATCCTCTTTGTTCCAAATGTTTTGCAAAGGGCAGCTTCGAGTGATGAGACTCGGTGGCTTCCAGAGTAGGAAAAGGCTGCGTATGAGGGCACATCGGTTGCACAGCCGCGCATGTGGAAGTTCATAAGGCTGCGTTGCCGCATGCATTGCAATGCTTCTAGTGTTGGTTTGTTTAAGTGGAGTTGGTTCAAGACGATTTTGCACAGCCATGACGAGCCCTGTTGATTCTGCTCCCTACTTTGTCCAACGCGCTGAGGAGATCTTTCTCGGGCGCAGGGTTAGCGATGCCCTTAAGGCGAAAGGAGTGACTACGTTGGCCCAGCTGGCTT